CGCACACACACACACACGAGCGCATGCACAAACACACGCGCACACACAAACACATACATACATACACACACACGTGCACACAGTCACACATACCCGCACACAAATACACAGACACACACATGCACATACAAACACGTGCCCGCACCCACACACACAGACACACACGTGCACACACGCACACACACACACACACGTACACACACACACACCCGCTCATACACACACACACACACACACACACACACACACACACACACACAAACTAGTGAGGTTTTTTTTTTTTTTTGTTAATCAATCAATCAATCAATCAATCAATTAATCAATCAATTAGTTAGTCAATCAATCAACCAATCACATTTAATCAATCAATCAATCAGTCAGTCAATCAATCAATCAATCAATCAATCAGTTTGCGTGTATATCAAAAACAAAAGAAACAAGAAAAAAAGAAAAGAAAACGACTTTCTTTTTTTTTCTTCATTATATATATATATTTTTGTTGGTTTTATATTTGCATATGTAGGGAACAAAAAAGAATCAAAGAATCATGTGCACCATGATTGTCCATTTACAATCCGAAAAAAAGAAAAAAAAAAAATCCCCCTTTTTATTATGTTTCTTTTGATTTTCATACTTTATTTTTTCGTTTTTTTTTTTTTTTTATCACAAAACACATTACAAAAAAAACAAATATTATACGGCGATAAGGTTTTTCTAAAAACTACAATCCCATATTGTTATTTAAATTTTTCGCTTATTATTCTCGAAATAAAAAACGTTAGGGTTTTACGGCCACACTCGGTCCCCGCGGGTGCCCCCCGCGGCCATGATCCCGGCCGCATGTGGTAATCGGGCTCGTGGTCATGACTGCGGGTGATACATAGCGGACAACACAACCCGCTTGAACTCGGTAGGAAACTTTTCGTATTCAACCAGACTCAACGTTGCTTTCAGGTCCTTATCTGAGGCACAACCGAGGTACTAGGGAAACCCTTCAGGTATGAGTGATCAGTAACAAATCTTCCACAAGCCGCCCATAACTTCTCGTTCAACCCCTTCGAATTGTATTGCGTCACCAGTTGCTCTCTCGTCCGAAAGAAATCAGCATTCCACTCATCTCTGGTCCGGCCCTAGTGCTGGAACTTAATTATATGCCACAATCGAAGTAGCATTTGGTCCTACTTTACAATTTCGCAGACGACTTTCATCCTCATTTTCCCATGCTCAACTAGTTTCTTGCTCCCTTGCTACACCCACAATATCTCAAGTTCCAATACACCCCTCAAAATCCGTTGCTTTTCCAGATCTGTGAAATCCCCTATTTCTTTCCAGCAATGCACGTCGGGTTCACTGACTTGAACAAAAAAGTCGCGCTCCTCCGGTTTCCTCCGCTTGTTTCCTTTGCGCGGTTGTGGATCTGTAACCCGACTATTGTACACGACTCTCTTCTAGTCGTTGTTGCCCTCTACAAAAAATTGACCCTCCTGAGTGGCTTTCGTGTTCGTTGAAGGAGGCCTCATAGTCCACAGGGCGCCTTCTAGGGCGAGAAGTTGACCCTTCACCCACTCTTCATAAAACTGCATACCCAGTTCCCACGTCAGGTCATTGCTCATGACGAAAGGCAAAAAGTACCTTAGTTTCTCTTGCCATACGTTTTTATCTTCTTTGTTGTTGCTATTAACAATGTCCCAGAGGTTGTGGTATGGTGTCTTTCTCAGTGCTAGTTTTTGAAGTATCTCATAACTGGCGACGAAGTCCTACTTGAACTTAGCATTCCCAACCATTGGACGAGGACGTTTCAAATTTAACCAACTTTGTCGCATGTCAATTATGGACAACAATTGGGACCTAGGAGGGGCAACCTTGTCCTTCCTGTTGTCGATTACAATGATCTGGGTGTAGCTGTCGAAGTCCTGGTCCGAGAAGTACAGCGGTTTAAAGGGTCACTCAAAGAACGAGTGATTGTCCCAAATATCATGCTCCCTCAGCAACAAAGCGGCCCTCGTGTTGTGTTGCTCACTCACACCACAGTACCAGTGCTCCTGTGGGTTGTCCTCATTGAATTGGTTTGGTGTTATACGGATAGCCTTTTCCCCTTCCTTAGTGGCTCTTTGATTGCTGACAATTTCACGACTGGTTTCTCATAGGTGTGGTTCAGCTTCAAGTAGGCATTTGGCATGGGCGTCAGCATAAACTCAACGTGGGTGTCGTTTATTGAACGATGATTGTATGAGTCCTCCCACGACGGCAACGGAATCACCCTATCTGGGTGTACGAAAAGAGTTACATTTTTTTTCATACCTGTTTTCCACACAAGAAAATAACCTGCGTCCAAATTGATAATTCGATCGTTCGAACCACTCCCCTTCTCTCCCTCTTCTTGATCCTTGTCCTTCCTGGCTTTCGTCATTCCCTTTCCGGTTGCACCTTCCCGTTTCTTCTTCGCAGTCTCTTTACTCTCTTTCGTCGACTTTCTCTTCACCCCGGCTCCTTAGGTGCTATTCGCTTTTCTCTTTTTTTGCTTTCCCCCCTCGGCAGACCTTTGCCCAACTCGTTTCTCCCCTGCCGACACGACCTGGGTATCCTGATCGTTACCCCCTTCTTCGTCAGACCCTTCCCCTCTTAGGTTCTCCCCAGCCAATATGGGTCTCTTCCCCTTTTCACCACCACTAGCCTCAACAACACCTCAGCGCACCAGAGCCTCTGATTCTGCTCCCCAACCTTCCCGGATGTTGATTGTCGTCATCTTCAAATGTCTATCCAGAACCTGCTGCATGGCAGCGACTCTTTTTTCGGGAGGGGTCTTCGTAACTGCACCCTCCCCAACTTCAATTTCGAGGTCTGATTTTTCATACGCTTGAGAGTGTTCCGACTTCGGGGGAACGAATTCAGGGTCTAGACGTTCCGCAAAGGTCCTCGCCACTGCATCCTCATCACGACTGCTAGTTAGCGTCATTTCGAAAGTTTGTGTCTTTATGGGCTCATCACCGACTATGCTAATGGGCATGGAAATAGGATGCCCGAACAAGACGTCCTTACACTTGTTTGGCCACACTGTTCTCGTGTAGTGGATTGAACGATGATTGTATGGCTCCTCCCACGGCGTCAATGGAATCACCCTATCAGGGTGTACGGAAAGAGTTACATTATGTTTCACACCTCTTTTCCACTCCAGAAAATCATCTGTGTATCGATAATTCGATCGTTCGAACCACCCCCCTTCTCTCCCTCCACCTAATCCTTGTCCTTCCTGGCTTTCGTCATTCCCTTTCCGGTTGCACCTTCCCGTTTCTTCTTCGCAGTCTCTTTACTCCCTTCCGTCGACTTTTTCTTCGCCCCGGCTCCTTTGATGGTACTCATTTTTCTGTTCTTGGATTCAAGTAGGCATGTAGCATGACCTTTAGGGTAAACTCAACGTGGGTGTCGTTGATTGAACGATGATCGTACGGCTCCTCCCACGGCGGCAACGGAATCACCCTATCTGGGTGTACGAAAAGTGTCACATTCTTTTTCACACCTGTTTTCCACTCAAGAAAATAACCTGCATCCAAATCGATGATTCGATCGTTCGAACCACACACCTTCTCCCCCTCCACCTGATCTTTGTCCTTCCTGACTTTCGTTATTCCCTTTCTGGTTGCACCTTCTCTTTTCTTTTCGCAGTCTCCTTACTCCCTTTCGTCGACTTTCTCTTCAACCCGTCTCCTTGGGTGCTACTCACTTTTCTCTTCTTTTGCTTCCCCCCCTCGGCAGACCCTTGCCCAACTCGTTTCTCCCCTGCCGACACGATCTGGGTATCCTCATCGTTACCCCCCTCTTCGTCATACCCTTCCCCTCCTAGGTTCTCCCGGACCGATATGGGTCTCTTCCCCTTTTCACTACCACTAGCCTCAACAACCGCTCGGTGCACCGGAGCCTCTAATTCTGGTCCCCTACCTTCCCGGATGCTGATTGTTGTCATCTTCAAATGTCTATCCGGAACCTGCTGCACGACAACGACACTTTTTTGGGGAGGGGTCTTCATAACTGCACCCTCCCCAACTTCAATTTCGGGGCCTGATTCTTCATACGCTTGAGAATGCTCCGGCTGCGGGGAACGAATTTAGGGTCTAGAAGTTCTGCAGAGGTCCTCGCCACAGCACCCTCATCATGACCGCTAGTTAGCGCCGTTTCGAAAGTTTGCATCCTTATGGGCTCATCACCGACTACGCTAATGGACACGAAAATAGGATGTCCGGAGGACACATCCTTACACTTGTCTGGCGACACTGTTCTCTCCCAGTCAGCGAAGAAACAACGCACGACAACATCAGTTTCCAAATCCGAGGTTACGGAAGACTGGTGGCAGCCTTTCCGAAACCCCGAATTTTTTTCCACGCTAGTCTACAACCTCTGTCATTGTGGTCAGGCTCCCCACTCTTCGTGTACACCGTTTGGATGTAAAACGTCCTGACCCCCTCTGTACAATTTTCTCACCCATCCACATCCTCGAGCAACCTAATCGCACTACGGTCCTTGATGTACAGGACACCTCCACATGGTGGTTTAGTTGGCGTCAAACAATTTTCAGAAACCTAGTCGACGTACCACAAACGGTTGTCTAGCTTATAGTACTGAAGGTTTCTCTTCTCGTCAGACGAACCATGCCCTCGACGTCTCCGATCAACAACTTGTGCAGTACCCGAAGTCGTTGCAGGCCCACCATAGTTCCCATATGCCTCAGGAGTCGCTCCTCCAACAGACCGTTGGCTTCTCTCGATCATTTGCGCTGTCCCCGAGGTCACTAAATGCCCTTCACGGTTCCCACCTGCCTCAAGCGTCACTCCTTCGATGGACGGTCGGCCGGTGTCGTGTTGTTTTCCAGCGTCAGTGGAAGCCATTTTATCTACGTACAATGAGCACGAAGTGTTAGGACCTGTGCAGCAAATACATCCGCCAGTGAGAACATAAACTATTTGGAAATTGAGCGCAAAAGGTTATACATCCGCTCGGGAGGATGCACAACCTCACGTTGTGTGGAGGATAGATCCGCTCCAGAGATGTGGCTGCGTCTTTGGGGCGGATGTATCCTCCACACAACTGGAAGGTTTCGATACACGCATAGTGACACAACTGGAACGTTTCGATACACAAATTGTATGAAGGACAAATTCATTCAAGAGATGTGGACGCGTCTCTGGGGCGGATGTATCCTCCACACAACTGAAAGGACTCGATACACATTGTGTGGAAGATAGATTCATTCCAGAAATGTGAACGCGCCTCCAAGGTCACGCGTTGAGTTCTCAAAGGAGGATCACCCGCACGTTGACTCATCCCCAGGGCGAATGTGTCCTCCATAAGACTAGATTGTTTTTGCGCACACATTGTGTGGAGGATAGATCCGTTTCAAGGATCTCGAGGCCCCACTTATAGGACGTCTGTCTCAATGGACACATTGTGCGAAGGATAAATCTGCCTCAAAGATGTGTACGTGGCATTAAACCACCAGTACCTCGGCCTGCTATTTTTTTTTTGGGCGGCCGTATACGCGCCGCGACTTCCGGTGGTCGGTGGGCGGGGGACCGGTAAGTAAGGGGAAAAAAAAACCACGAGAAGGAACGAAAAGAAAAGAAAAGAATCAAAGTCACGAGTTCCAAGTCGTTGCGCGTTGCAGTCTGAGAGAGAGAGAGAGAGAGAGAGAGAGAGAGAGAGAGAGAGAGAGAGCCGACGCGTTGCATGGTCGGACGCGTGCAACGCGCCGACTCTCTCTCTCTCTCTCTCTCTCTCTCTCTCTTTCTCTCTCTCTCTTGGGGACCAAGTCCCACTAGCAGCGTTGAGCTACCTCAACGCCTGAATCTGGACGTTTTTGCGGTGATGTGCAGAAATGGTATTGAGTTTCCTGAAATGCACATCTCCATGACACGTCCAGATTCAGGCGTTGAGGTTGCTCAACGATGCTACCGTCTTCCCCCGAACACAACGCATCCTCATTTTGGCTGTATCTGGCCGGAAGTACAACTCGTATACATTCATTTTTTGGGTGCGTTATGTTCGGGGGAAGACGGTAGTGGGACTTGGCCCCGTGAGAGAGAGAGAGAGAGAGAGAAGAGTCGGCGTGCAACGCGTGCAACGCGCCGACTCCCTCTCTCTCTCTCTCTCTCTCTCTCTCTCTCTCTCTCTCTCTCTCTCTCTCTCTCTCATGGGGGCCAAGTCCCACTAGCAGCGTTGAGCAATCTCAACACCTGAATCTGGACGTGTTCATGGAGATGTGCATTTCAAGAAACTCAACACCATTTTTGCACATCACCGCAAAAACGTCCAGATTCAGGTGTTGAGGTAGCTCAACGCTGCTTGTAGGTCCCCCGGGGAACAATGCAGTGTCGGTTTTGCTTTTTCCGTTTTCTTTTTCTTTGTTTTTTTTTTTCACGTATGAAGGGTTTTTTTTTTTTTTTTTTTTTTTTTTTTTGTCCAATAAAATGTTTGTAAAATGCCTTGTCACCCATCTACCGGTAGTCGCAGGCTCGGCGTGGTAGCCGTAGGCTACCCCTACCGGTAGTTGCAAAGATGGGCCTTCGACACCGGTAGGTACTGGTGGTTTAAGGTCCAGCGTTGAGTTCTCGAAGGAGGATCTGTCAGCCCCACACATTGCCTGCAGAAGCCCGAAGCGTGTCTCCAAGCACGGGGGCGGATCTATCCTCCACAAAACAGTAAGGGTATGATGAAGCATTGTGGGGAGGATTTATCCTCTGCACATATCTGAACAGACTGCGAGAACGAGGCTTGGAGGATGTATGCTCCACACAACTGGAAGGTTTCGATACAGAGATTGTCTGAAGGATAGATCTGCTCCAGAGATGTGGGCGATGCTCCAAGGTCCCGCGATGAGTTCTTAAAGGAGGATCTATCTATCCCATCCTTTGTCTATTGATGCACGAAGACTGTCTCTCATCTCTGGGGCAAATTTATCCTTCACACAACTGGAAGGTTTACATACAAACAATGTGTGAAGGATAAATTTACTCCAGGGATGTGGATGCGGTTTAGATGTTCAACATTCAGGTCACGATACAGAATCTATCAGCCCCACACGTTGTCTACCACGGTCGAAGTCTGTCTCCGATGCTTCAGAGATGTCGTCCTCGCAACTCTAGGACCGATTTATACTCCACACAATTGGAAGGGTACAATGCACACATTGTGAGGAGGATTGATCCGCTTCACAGATATGACAGATGTAGACGCATTCCGTGCACACATTGTGTGGAGAATAGATTCGCTACGGAGATGTGGACGCGGCTCTTAGGTTCCGCGTTGAGTTCTCAAAGGAGGATTGATTCGGCACAAACGTTGTCTGTTGCACATCCAAATCTTGTCTCAGTGCTCTGGGCGGATCTATCCTCCACACAACTGGAAGGTTTTGATACAAATATTGTGTGGAGGATAAATCCGGTCCACAGATGTGAGCAGAGCTCTGAGGTCTCATGTTGAGTTCTCAAAGGAGGATCTATATGTTTCACA